CTTGGCTCAGAACCAGCCCTGGGAGGTGACAATCTGAGATACCCACGGGCTGAACCCCTTCTTTTGCCATCAGCACGGCGAGTCTGGGCACCCAGGAGTGCTTCCCTGGAGCATCCTGCCATGAGCATTCCACAAGCCACAGCCTCCAGGGAGGTGACTCCCCATCCCCGCATTTCTAGGGGGAAAAACAACAAAAAAAAAAAACAACCCAGGACGTCGCTGGAGGGTTTGAGTGCCCGGCTAAAATAACAAGGCTGGGATCTGCCCCCTTCCTCCCCATGGCCTTGGCGGGGCGGACTAGGAAGAATGCGAGTTGGCTATCCATCAGGGAGACAGAGCAACAGCCAGCCGAAGAAAGAGGGGCATTTTAGGAGGAAAGCCAGGGAAATTTGATCATTAAGAAATCCTCCTGGCTGTCTGGGGGAATTTAATTAAATTGCTGGAAAGGGCTGTAAGCACATCTGGATCCAATATGTGCAGCTTTGATTTTTTTCTTTCTTTCTTTCTTTCTTTCTTGCTTGCTTGCTTTTTTTTTTTTCCCCCCAGTTCACTCTTTTCCCATCTTGCTGTTGAAGGAGGGGGGGGGGGGTGTGGAATAAAAGGGAAATAGCAGAGCCACGGAGTATTGGTTCATCTGGGACTGGGATTCCTGGCAGGGAAAGAAAGAGAGGGAGAGAAAGAGCAAAAGAAAGAGGCAGAAACAGAGGGAATAAGAAAGCTGGGAGAAAAACCTTCACCAAGGGTCTGGCTGGGGAGTTTTATAATGCCACCGACCGCAGAGACAGGGTTCTAGGAGGGAATGGGGGGAGTTGTGAGGGCTGGAGGGGAGAGGAGGAGGAGAGGAGCCAGCCCAGGGTACGCTGTGCTTTTGGGGTCTGGCAGGGATGGAGGGACAAAGAGGAGTTGCACAGTGGATACAGAAATACCATTCCTGCTGGGAAGGGCAGGGCTGGGCACAGGGGGACTCCCCCAGCAAATGCCCCCAGCCATCCCCCCTGCACTGGCTGGTGCCCTGGTCTGGGGGCAGGAGGGGATGCTCTGGTGCCCAGCCTGGGCAGGACACACGGCTGGCACAGCTCTGGTTTAAGCAGATGGGGCTGGCAGCCCTCAGAAAGGGACCAAACCCCTGGCACCCACCCTAAGGCCGGTTACTGGGTCCTGGCTGGGCACTGCCAAGCCCCCATCATCTCCCAAGCTCTCCTCCTTACTACCTCCTTACCCTGCTCACCATCCTTACAGTGGGGCAGAGGTGCATCTCCATAGTTGGACAAACTTCCCCACCCGTGGGAGACGTGGGTGAGTCTCAGCCCAGTTCCTCTGCACAGTAACATCCACAGGGCAAGATTTTGGGAATGTTAGGAATGAGCACCCGGGTGCCACAGGAAGCAGCAGCAGCCCAGGCAGTGCTCCAAGGATGCTGCACTGTCCCATCTCAGCCACCACAGCAGTTTTGGGGTGAGGGGGAGGGCTGGGGCTGGCACAGCATGCCCAGATCCAGGCTGTGTGGAGCACCGTGGGAGCACAAGGTGTTATCACAGGATAAGAGAAATATCAGGAAAGCCCTAGGAGAACACAGAGTGAGAGTACCAAAAAATATAAATGTAAATTTGGTTGTTTTTTTTTTTTTTTGGTTGGTTGGTTGAGGGTTTTTTTAAGAGAGGAAGATGAAGGACTGGCAAATGAAACACATTCATCCCAAGGGCTGCAAACTGCAAACCTGGCAGGCCCTGTCCACATCCTCAACCTGGGGAGACCAGCACATTCCTGCCAATTTGGTGTCACTTTAGTCCCTCAACAGCTCTGGCTCAGCAAAGCCGGACTCAGGGCACACTCAGCAAAACCCAGGTGCTCAGTGTCAGGTAAAGCAAACCTTGCTCAGCTTCATCTCCAAACCTCCCACACTTCGCCCTAAGCATGACCAGGAGTCACCTTGCCAGATCCAAGGTCTGGTTTTAGTCACTTAAACCACAATTTTTACCAAAAAAAAAAAAACCAAGAAGTGAGAAGAGCTTGCACAAGAGGGTTGGGAAACACCAGGAGTGTGGGTTTCAAGTGACCAGGTCTCGCTTCTGATGCCTTGTGTGGATGGTGGTGTTAAAAAAAAAATGATGCTGGGGAAAAAAAAAAAAAAGGGGGGGGGGGGGGCAAATCCTACAGCTAAAAAGGAAATTGCATTAATACAGATTGTTTTATTTAAAAAAAGCAAACCCTGACCTCTACTTCAAAAAAGTCATTAGACATTCTCCTTCTGAAAGGCCGACCGGGGATATTACTGAAAGGCCAGTTAATTTCTCAATGACTTACTGTTCTTGCTCTGCTCATGGAAATGTGTAAAGAGTCGGAGGATAATTTAAGGCACCCTGCAGAAAGGTGTGTAAATCTTTGCATGTCTAAAGAAACTTTACCAGACCGCTAGGATTGAGAAAAAAAAAAAAAGAAAATGCTTGCCCTCTTTTTTTTAAACTTTTTCTTTTTTTTTTTTTTTTTTGTACTTTCCTTTGGAACTCTGATCCCCTTTGATCATAAAAAAGGTCATATTTCAACCAAAGAAATATCAGCAATCACAGGGCCCGAGGAAGTGCGAACCCAAGGGGGTTTCACCGACGATTATTCCCTCCATTTAATTATTTAATGCCGCTGACTGAGGGAAAGCCGTCTCCCCTGGAAAAGCCAGACAGTTCAAGAGTAAGGTCTGGCCCTGAAAAAAGGAGGAGGAAGAGGGTTATAAATGGGGCTGGAGCTGCTCCATCCCCCCTCCTGCCCTTGCCCCTTCATGGGCCAAGACCAGCTGCCCCAAAACCCTCCCCAAAATAATCACAGCAAGATGTTCCCAGCCTCTGAGGCCAAGGGGAAATACTGGGGGGAAGGATGGGGGTCCTCACTGCCCCGGCCCCCCCACCAGCCCTGACTGGCTGGTGCCCATTGCTGATGGGTCACTGTCCTCCAAGGGGATGTCTCCATCTCCCAGGTTGATCCTGGAGCAGTTTTTCCTCAACATGGCATCATCCCCATCCTGGGAAAGGTCTGTCCCTGCTGCCAGAGTGGAAAAAAAAGCAGGATCAAGCAGGTACCTGCATGAGGAAGGGTGGCACGAGGCTGGGCTGGGTCCCCCAGGGCCCAGTGATCCCAGGGGTGATGCAGGAATCTCCTCCCCAAGAGCACAAAGCAGCCAGGAGGGCTGATGGCAATAGATGCGATCTATATTCTAAAATCCAGATTAAAGGCATAACCACAGTGCACAGCATCATCCTGACACTGTGTGACAGGGGTCCCATCCAGCTGGGTGCTGGGCAGAGGTAGAACACCCACCTGGGGGAGCATCCCCCAGGGAAGCAGGAGCAGAAGCAGCATCACAAGATCACAGAATCACAGAATACGCTGAGTTGGAAGGGACCCACAAGGATCATCCATTTCAACCCTCAGCCCTGCACAGGACCATCCCCAAGGGTCACACCCTATGCCTCAGAGTATCATCCAAAGGCTCCCTGAGCTCTGTCAGGGCCGGTGCTGTGTGACACCAGCCCATGATTTACACAGCCAAGGGGACAGAAACAGACCCCAGACCTGACTCCTGAAGTGCCCCTCGGGCCAATGAATTGGACTGATAGAACCAGTAAATGGACCCAAAAAAGAAAAAGGAGGGGGGAAGGGAGGTTGGGCTGGCTTGTTTGCACACTGGAGGAGCCCCCCGCAGAGTCGGAGAGAGCCAAAATCTGCCTTCAGCTACACCCCTTCCAGGCTGGAGAGCTCTGGGAAGCTGCTTCCCCGTCAGGAAGATCAGATTTGGCAGCGCTGGCTGGCTTAAAAATCTGCACGCCTCCGACTTGAAGGGGAAGAGAGCGCAAGAAAAGCTTTCGACAAATGTTAAAATAACTCAGCCAGGGGTTTGCCTCCCTCGGCCGCGCTGGAGCGGGGATGTTTATGAGCTCAGAGCTGGGAGATTTCGCGTGGAACCCTGCGTGTGCACAGCCCCGTCCATATGTGCCGGCAGCGGCGGGCAGGAGAGCGGCTGGAATCGAGGGGAAGGAATAATGACTGTTAAACCTCTTCGATTTCTGCTCGTCGCCCCGAGCCCAGCCCTCTCCGGACACCAGCGACCAGCCCCACGCTCTGCCCTCCTCCCTCCCTCTCACCGCCTCTTCCCTGCATATCTCTCTGTGTACATATAAAAATATATATAATTTTAAAGAGGAAAAACTCCTTTTTTCCCGGTGGCTGGTTTTCATTAGGGAGGTTTCTTTCTAACCCCAGGGGAAGCAGCCTATGAGTTTTTAACTGTGGTGCAGGACGTAATTATCTCATTAAGGCGAGAGAGCCAGGCTTTTCCCAGGAGAGGTGACCTTGCTCCGGGGTTGATGGGGACCGGAGGAGGGGGGGGGGGGGGGGGGGGGGGGGGGGGGGGGGGGGGGGTTGGAGGTGGAGGGGGGCCGTGTCCCCCGCTAACCTGCGGGTCACCTCTCCCTCCAGCCCCTCTCCCAACCCACCCCATCCCTCCCCACGGAGCGCAGCCACTTACACTTGTTGATAGAAGCACTTAAAACAGGGTGAGGGGGGGTGAGTGATGTGGTTGGGGTAAGGGGGGGGGGAGAAGCGGGTCTCCCTCCCTCTCTGCCCCCCCCTTTTCCGCGGCTTGGCTGCCGGCGGGGCTCGGCCCCTGGCAGGGGGGCAGGTCGCGGAGCTGGGGGGGGCGAGGGGCCGCCCCGCTCGGCTCTGAGCAGGGGCGTTTGTTTGAACAGCTCCAGAGCAAAGAGCAGGGAAAGAAAGTTTGGGCTGGGAGCGTGGTTTTTTCCCCAGACGTCAGCACAAGGCGGAACAGGGGCTGGGGAGGGAGCCGGATTCACAGGGCAGCCGTGATTCCCCCCAACCCCCCCCCATTTAAAAGAAAAATTATAATTATTATAATTTTTTCTCTTTTATTAGGGGACGTGGGTGGGGAAGGGGAAGGGGGCCGGGGAGCGGCCCGGCACCTCGGGGTGGGCTGCGGGCTGGGGGTGGGAGCCATGGACTCGGCGCCAGCCTTCGCCATGGACAAGCCGTTCGCCCCCGGCGCCGTGCGCGGCCCGGAGCCGCCCGAAAACCCTCAGAGCCGGAAAAACTTCAGCGTGAGCCACCTCCTCGACCTGGAGGAGGTGGCGGCCGGTATGAACGGGACCCCCGCGGCCGGTCCCCCGCCCGCCGGTGGCGGCAAGGCCATCCCGGAGCCGTCGGGAGGCAGCAGCGGCAGCGAGGCAGCGCCCCAGGACGGTGAGTCCCCGCCGCCCCGGGATGGGCTCCGCCGGGCTGGGGCAGCTTTGGGCACGGGGTGTCCCCGCCGTGTCCTCCCTGCCGCGGACCGGGCACGGCGGACAAAGGGGGTCGGTGTTCCCCCGCAGCGGGGTTTGGGGGAAATCGGGGAGCGGGTAGAGGAGGTAGAGGAGAGGGCTGACTCCCGTCGGGGCGAGCTGTGGGGGTGCCGGCACCCTGACATCTGGGACACAGAGACCCCGCACCGGGGGACAAGGACCTCGCACCGGGGACAGGGCGCACAGGGACCCCACACCGGGGGAGAGGGGCACAGCACTGGGGTCAGGGACCCGCACCGGGCCAGGGGGGCACGGAGACTCCGCACCGGCCGCCTCCCCGCCGGAGATGCCGGGTATGGGACGTTCCCGGGAAGTCGGTGCGTCCCTGCGCGGCCTGCGGGGTCCCCCCTGCCCCCGGAGCTCCCCACCTCGGTTTCCGGGCTCGGGGAGCGGGGGCGGCCCGGCGGGGCGCTGGGGACCGGGACGCAGCGGGTCCCATCCCGGCGGCCGCTGCTGCGCGTCTTCGGGCCGGCAGCACCGGGCCAGGGGGACAGAGCCGGGGCTCGGAGAGGAGACGGGGATAGAGCGGGACGCGCGGCTTCGTGGCGCTCGGTCCTGTCCGGGGGTTTAACGTTTTTAACGGGACAGTCTCGCCTGCGTCCCTTCGCGCTGCTCCGCCGGCCCAGCGCATCCCCACTCCGGCCTTGGGGTGGAGGCGAGGAGGGTTCATCCCGTCCTTGGGGCAAAGCCCCGGTCCAGGGGTAGCCGACAAGCCGCCAGAGCTCCCCCCGGGAGCCAGGTGTCCCCTCGGGGCACAGAGGTGACAGAGAGGAGGCAGAGCGTGGAGTGGGATTTGCAGCCCTGCCATCCCCCCGGGGCTGCGCCAGCTGCTCACCCTGAGGGCACCCGGGGGTGGCATCCCCAAAACCTGCCTCCTGGTTGGGCTGTGGTACCTCGAGCTCGTTTTCTGCAGCCCCCAGAGCACAGCACTGAGGTGCTCATGGCCCTGCCGAGGGCCTGCCCCGTGCCCGGCCAGGGTGCACAGCCCACTCGGGAAGCTGTGCTTGTGAAGGGGCTCAGCCCACCCTAGAGGCTGCCCAGACCTGTGGTGAGGGAGGGTTCCCAGTGGGGAACAATCCCCCCTGGGTGCTCCCTCTGTCCCCTACCAGGGTCCCCTCACTGTGGGCAGGTTTGAAGCATCTTTCTCCCACCCACATCTCATTCCTTGCCCAACCTCTTTCCTCCATCGAGCAGCCCCACTGAGCCCCCAGCCTGCCTGTGCTTGGGATGCTGAGGGCTGGGTGAGACCAGGCACTGTGTTTCTGGGATGGTATCTGGTATTTTCAGCGTCGTTTTCCATCCTCCCTCCCTTTCCCTTGGGTTCTGTTTGTACTTGTCACGTTGCCTGTGGGACTGTTGGGGTGGTTTTCCCCCACTGATGGGATAATATTCCTTGTGGGATCAGCGCAGCTTTGGGAAACCCAGCCCAGCCCGCAGCGGTTGGTTGGTCTCACAGGGCTGTTCACAAAACAGCAGAGAAACTACTGCCCTGCTGAGCTCCTAATGCTCCCAGAGAGCTCAGTGAGGACTGGATGTGATGCAAAAACCAGAGAGAGAGGGGCAAAGGGCCTGCCTGAATCACCACAAGCCCATATTTTACCCTAAAAGCCCATTCCTCCTGGGGCAGAGGCCCTGGGGGTTTGGCCTGCAGATCCCAGCACTGCTGGCCCATGTGAGATATTTCCCATTAGCACCTGTTAGGGTGAGTTTGCAGGGACGAGGAAAACATCAGCATCTGGGATGCTCTGACAAGCTGTCCAGGAGTGGAAATATTTCTTCCCTTGATCCTACCTGGAGAGAAGAACACCTGAGAGCAGCGGGCAAGAAGAGAATGAGAAGACAGAGACAAAAATCCGCATGTGTGCAAACCTTTGAGACCTGTAACCTGCTGCCACTGCCTTAACTGGGATGCAGTTTCCTAAATTGGGATGGGTACACCCAAAATCCTGGACTCAAAATCCCAGGCAACTGTCCTGCCTTTGTGAGCATCAGCCTTTTGCTAAACATCTGCGATGCTTTCGGCATCGGCCTGATGACAGCTGAGGAACTTTTACTGGTAACGTTGTCTTTTATTGGCATCCTGAAGTAAAACAGCCTCTCAGCATTTTCTCTCATCTTCTTCTTCACCACTGTGGGGTGGTTTTTTTTCTGCCAGGTGCAAGTTTGGACCCCCAGAAATTGGTGGCAGTGGGTTTATTATGAATACAAGTGGACACGGTACCCCAGTGTCTCTCTGCAGGATCTGCACCCTGTCTGGGAACCATTTAGGGAGCAAGAGCAGCCTTGAACCTGCTGTGAAGCTGCTGGTACTCCTGTGAAGGACAGGGCTTGCTGTGGGCCAGGGGGTGCTTTGGCAGAGCTGGCACAGGGAAGCTTTAGGCAGCCCCAGGCTGTGCTCAGCAGGCTGCAACCTCCTCAGAACACCCTCCCCTTCCCCAGGGAAGCAGCAGCAGGGGGTTTCTACTCCAGAGGCTGGCAGAGATGGAGAAATTCAGGGCAGGGTATTATTCTTTGCAGAGGGGGATTCAACCCCCTTCTGCTGTCATTCATTACCTCTGTCCCACAGACCTCCCCACTGGAGAGGGCGGCTGCCCCATGTCTGGGGCCCTCAGCACACCTCTCCTCCAGGGGCAGCCCCTCCACAGTCCCTTAACAGAGCTAGCACATCCCTCCCTGCTGGCACCAAGCACCAGAGCCATCTCCACCTCCTGCTCCAGGCAAGGGGCTGCTCAGCCCCTGCCTTGGCCCCAGCCCCAAACTGGCCCTGGGGGCACCCAGTGCATCCTCCTGGGAGGATGAGTACAAATATCAGTGCAATGCGTTGCTCTCGTGACACCCAAAAAATCAGAAATCCCACAAGCCAGGCAAGAGCAAGGAAGAGTCAACAGGGTGGTGAGAGCTCGTCTCCATCCTCATCTTCATCGTCATCCTCCCCTGGAGTGGCGCAACAGCCTCCCATCGAAAACCTTCGGCACAGCTTCTGAGGTCTTGAAAGCTTGTTCACCTCCTTTCATTAGACTAACAAATAATGTGTAACGCGAAACATCTGTTAACAACAGCCCTTAATGTTCTCAAGATGATAAAGCAGGAGGGTAATTTTAGCCAGCAAGCCTTGACTGATGGCTTTTCAAACAATGAACTTACTTTGGTGCCGCCTGGAGATGGGAGAGGGAGTTGGGCGCTGGCTCCGGCAGCCGCTTCGGGGCTGAAAACTCAGAAAGAGCCACTTTTGTCACAGCCAAGCTTGGAAGGAGGACTGTGGCCCCTCTGAGGGGATCCTTCAGCACGGGGCAGGCATGTATTGCCCATTTGGCTGCAGTCACTAGGACCAGGCAGTGGGATGGGGAGTTGTGGTGGTTCCTGGGTATCCCATTTGCAGAACAGCTCCTGCAGCCCCTTCCTCATCCCCAGGGTGGCTGGAACTCTCTGACCCACCCTGGGGCTGTGTGGATGCTGAGCTGAGCAGTGATGAAGCAAGAGGAGAGAAGAGGGGATTAAGATGTTGTCACAGCAAATTGGCTTTCATTATGTAAACCAGGGCAGCTGAAAAGGGAGAAGCGAGGCAGGAAGGGACAGGGACCTGATGTCAGAGTGGAAAAAAGACTTGCTCTTGGGATCAAGTGCTGGCTGATTGCCCCAAATAGCCCCAAGCTGCTCCCAGGGCTCAGACACCTTCCTTAAGGCAGAGCCATCCCAGCTGCTGTCCCCATGGTGTCCCAGTCCAGGAGCCATGCTGGTCCTGGCTCACAGGGCACAGTTTGGCTGTGCTTCTCTTCCTAAATGCCCCTTGTCCCCACTGGATGTGGGGCACAGCTCAGGGACACCTTGGCCCCTCTGGCTGCCCTGTGACACCATGGCTGGGATGTGTCCACGGGGATCTGCTTTCCCTGGGACATCAACATGGCTCTGCTACAATTAAACCCAGCATCACTAATTCCTGTGCCTGGCTCAGGAAAGCACAGAGCCCTGGGCCAGCAAGGCTGGGCCATGGGGAGCCAGCTGAGGTTCCCCTACTCTGTAACCCTGGACTTGTGAGACCTCTCTCTCCAGCACTCATCTGCTTTCCACAGCCCCAGAACTGCTGGAAATCCTGCAAACCTCTCTGCTGGGAAGCTTTCCGTGGTTTCTAGAGGACTGATCAGGGACAGGCAGGGATGCAGAGACCCCAGCTCAGTCTATGTGGCAGGGGAAGAGGCTTTGAGATGTATCTGATAGATGTGGCTGCAGCTCTATGAGGAGAGGTTCTCGTGCTTTTGTGCCCAGAAGGAGGGCACCCTGTTGCTTGGGGTGGCACCACAACCTGCTTACCCCGGCCTATGGGATGAGGTTGGGATACACTGGGGTGGGACACATCCTGCTGGTGGTCAGCAAGGCTGGGGTGCAGTGTTTAAAATGCCCATCATCCCTCCCTGCTCCCTAAAACAGCATCAGCTGAGGGTGCCTGGCTGCCCTCCCAGGGTGGCAGACCTCCTGCAGGGCTTTGATGGGGACAGTCCCTGTGTGGCAGAGCTGGGAATGGTGGCATCCAGAGCAGAGGGGGAGGTGAACTGTCTCGGTCCTTGTAAGGCCAGTGCAGCTGGGATGGGTGGCACTGGGACAGGACCCATCCTTGCATGGACGTGGCTCTCAGTGACCAGACATCACCTTCCTGTCCACAGCACCTGCCTGGGGACATCTCCCTGCCTGCAGGGCTCTGAGGGCTGCAGACAAGGGGGTTTTCTCCATGCAGGGATGGTGCCCGTGGGGCTGCTGGAGCAGGATTGTCCCCAGGGGAAGGGACAGCACTTGCCAAGTGCCCAGTGCTGGCAGGTCCCCAGTGCAGCATCAGTCAGTGTGTCTTGAGTAAGCACCAGTTAATCTGCGTGGGAGCTTCCTGCCCCAGCCCACCTCCCAGCCCTCCAC